AAAGGAAGTTGCTTCAAAAAAATATCCTAGAAGATCAAAGGGAATATTAGATTGGACTGCCAAACAAGGATGAGTTTAGAAACTTGATCGGGGACGTGATAAAATTAAATACTGATACTAGGTATATATGTGATTTGGTTTTGAATTTGTTTGATTTGTATAGAATTTGACTGATAAAATAAATTGTGTTTTAATGATTTTTGGGATTATAATGAATGAAAACATATTACATTCCTTATTTTAGATTCCTGAAAAAGCATTGAGGCTTTTATGCAGAGCTAGTGACTTCTTATGCCAAAAAGCAAAAAATATAAAGACTTTTAATGATCATAATAACGAGTGGCGTGAACTTATTAGGGTCAAGAGAAGTCCATGGTGGGATATCAGGGATCCATTGTTCAAAAATTTGTTTTAGAAAGATGATAACGATGGTCGAAGAAGAATTTGTTATTTGAATAATATTGTTGACCTGGTATGTTATAATAAGAGTTTATATTTTCACCTTAAGAGTTGGCCTATAGATTTTCAGGTAAAAGTTTTAAATTATTTTTAAAAATAATTCATAATATATATTAGCGCACACATATCTATATTCAATATTCTTTTACTTTTTTAATTTTTCAGGGGAAATATGACAAGCTTGAATCACGTGTAGAACATTTGAAAGACAGATTTCTGAAGCTGTTCACTATAGTTTTAGCAACTCTAAGAAGTCATGTGTAAAGTGCCAAGCACTTTCATAATTATTTTTACATCAATCCTTATGTAGGCTCCTCATTTTGAGGTGATGTTGCTTTTTCTGAGTAGAGGACATGAAAGGAAGTATTGACATTCCCTGAAGTATTATAAATTATATTTTAAATGGGATGTGACACTGAGATAGTGTACTATTCTAGAATTGAAAGGCTGAAACTAGAGAATACATCTAGTAATATCAGTATGACAATATTCCATGGATTAAAATTTTCATGAATTATGCTTAACCTTAGCATTTAGAAAACTTCTAGGACCACACCTCTACACAACAAAAGAAAAAAATAAGTATTAAGAATTCAAAATAAATATTAATTTTTTATGATGGAGAGAATTTTTAAAAAGTATATTTGGTAAATATTTTTTTAGGCATTTTTATTTTATACTTAATTAGTTCATTACTTTCGTATTTTACAATATTAATTAGGTTGGCAAAAACGAAAAAAACTTGAACCTTTTTTAATGTCTTTCTATTTAAGAGAAATTTTGGTATATTTTTAAGAATGTTGCACATTTATTTTTCTTTTACATCTCATTTGTCTTGTATTAACCGGTATCAGAGCTTGATTATCGCTTCTCCTCCACTGTCGTTAAACCCTTTTAAAGCTAGTCTCTTTAATATCTCCAACATACATCAATTAGTATCAAAGTCACATCCTCTTTATTTTTTATTTTAACCCTCGCATAAGCCTTTCAAAAACTTGTTTTGGTCTCATCCATCTTGTATTAGTTGGTATCGGACCGAAATTTTGTGCTATCAAGATTAGAATCTTGTGCTATATCAAATCTAGCTCTAATTGAGTAAGGCCATGTGATGTAAAAGGCAGTCTTAGTTCCTAAAACTGCTTAGGAGCTCGCCACATATAGCCTGCTTGTTACTTCTTCATACATCTATTTATATCATGAAAATACTTTAATTATTAGGTAGTGTCATTAAATGTATTTAAAAAAATATATATATCTCTACAGACTCATCTGATTTGGGTTGCCTTATCGATTTGCTAAAATAACAAATCTTGATAACAATAGACTCATCTTCTAATATCAGTATGACAATATTCCATGGATTTAGATTTCCGTGAGTAATGCTTAGCCTTCGCATTTGGAAAACCCCTAGGACCACTCCTCTACACAACAAAAGGGGGAAAAAAAGTATTAAGAATTCAAAACAAATAAAAGTACATAAAATGAAATTTTCAAATAATCAAAGAAAACTTTACGCACCTCATCAAATCTTGAGCAAATTTTTCACGGTACTCCTTCCTAGTCAGAAGTCTCTCTTGGTTTTTTGGAATATACAAAAATGTGTCCAGTGAGTAGGTAAATGGTTTTAAGATCAAATGCCGAGATGAAGGGAAACGGGCATGCAACTGTATAAGATTTTGCTATCCTTTTCTCGAGCTTATAATTTCTAGTTGTTCATCAATGTTATTATTATCATATTCTACAATATTTATGCAGATGTCATGCGCCCCTAATTCCTCTCTAAATATACTAAGGTGAGGCATTCATAGATCTACAACAATCAATGGAACCAATTGATCTCCCATTTAAACTTGTACAAAAAATGAATAGGACACTGAGATAGTGTACTATTCTAGAATTGAAAGGCGGAAGCTGGGGAATACATATGGTAAATATGATTTATAATGCCAATTAAAATTAATTAGACACTTTTTAATATGTGTTTTCTGTTAAATTTGACCGCGAATTATGATGGAGAGAATTTTTTAAAAGTATATTTGGTAAATATTTTTTTTAGGCATTTTAATTTTATACTTAATTGGTTCATTACTTTCGTATTTTACAATATTAATTAGGTTGGCAAAAACGAAAAAACTTGAACCTTTTTTAATGTCTTTCTATTTAAGAGAAATTTTGGTATATTTTTAAGAATGTTGCACATTTATTTTTCTTTTGCATCCCATTTGTCTTGTATTAATCGGTATCAGAGCTTGATTATTGCTTCTCCTCCACTGTCGTTAAACCCTTTTAAAGCTAGTCTCTTTAATATCTCCAACATACATCAATTAGTATCAAAGTCACATCCTCTTTATTTTTTATTTTAACCCGCCATTATGAATATGTACAATTGAAATGATAACTCACATGATGTATAAAGCATTAAACTATATTTTCGAAAATTTATTTTTCTATGAATTTTCTATGCTACAGTTGAAATGAGAAATCATGAAGTATACTTTTCTCAATAGATTGGGGGTGAGGGAACCCACATCATGTATAACAGTTAAACAAGTTTTATAATATTGCATACTTTCTCCCTCATGGTATTTTTTTTTTACTTCTTTCAATTTCATATTTAATAATTATTCAAAAATTATCATATGAAAGATGTTATTTTAAAAGCTTTATTTAATTTTACATGATAGCCCTTCTTTCTTCACTATTTGGCTATTAAGAAGATAAAACTTTCTCATCACTTTCTGATGAATACAATTAAAATAATGATCTCTAAGGTGTATAATTATATAACTCTTACTAACACAGAAACACGCACACACAAATGTATGACTTTTTTTTCTTTTCCCCTTTAAGAAGAAACTATCATCAAGATAAAGTTTAAAAATACAAAGAGATCGAAAAAAAAAACCAGCAGACAAAAAATATAACTAAATAATTATTGAGATTTAGGGATGGTTAGGTAAGGAATGGGATGTTACCACGGATTGTTGTGGTAGGAAAGCTACATTCTTCTATTCTCCTAGCTTTTTTTTTTGCTTTTCTTTACTATGATGTACCTTTTTAATGTTTTTTCATTGGTTTAGTCCCATCGAAAAAAATATATACACACATATAAATACAACAGCCTCTTCTACTCTATTAAGGGGGGGAAAAAGTAAAGATCATTTTTTTTGTTTGCCATAGAAAAGATGCAATTTGGAAGGAAGGTGGATGAGGAAGGGGCAAGAATCTTCTTGAACTTACCTCTTGAATCTTTAAGCTCTGCTACACACAAAAAATGAAAGAGAATAGGAGAGAAGCAAAGAAGCAGAGCATTTCTAGTATGGCTATTGAAAAAGAAGACAAAGTATACAACTAAGAAAGAGTTTGCTAGAGGGAGGGGGGAGAGAGTTGTTACTTTAGAAAAAGTGGAATGAGTTTTAGGCAACAAGTAATTAGGGTTAAAACCAACCACAATAAAAGTGAGAGAGCAGGGTGGGGACTTGCTTTCTTGTGCTGTTAAGAGGATGAAAGGAGACACCACAAGAGAGGGAAAGAGAGTGATAGGGAGAGCTGTCAAGTATTTTACAGAAAGATTGTACTACTAGTGAAAAAAAGAGAGGGGAAGAAAGTGAGAGAGAAAGAGAGTGGTGAGCATTGAGTAGCCACTATTTTGTATAATGGCTTGTTAAGTTATAAATTCTTGCGAGAATTGCATTAATGTCCCACAAGAGAGAAAATACAACAAAAAGGTCCTTAAAAATCTTTTAATTAATCATAAGTCCCAAAAGGACTCGATGCAATTTAGTAAAATGTGAGACTTTTTTGCCTTGGGTAATGTAGGCAGAAAAAACATTACAAATAGAAAGGGAGAACTAATTTCTTGCACCTTGAAACTCTTACGCATGAGAATGAAGCAAGCGCCCATTGATGGAGTTCTCAGAAAGTTAAACCTCCCTTTCTCACTCGATTGTTTTTGGGCTCTCAGACTGTCTGGTTTATGAATAACTGGAATGGATTCCAACCTAATAACGGTTGAACAATGGTCTAAAATAGCCCAGTCCTAAAATAGTTTTCACCCCAGAAACGAGTTGTTTATTAGTCCAACTAGTCCCATCTAACTCAATTTTATAAACATTGCTTGGTTGTTTCCCAACATTTCTCTAAAATTTCATTCGCATTCAATTTACATCTTAATATGTATATTTAGAAGATTTGTGGTAAAAAAGAAATCTCGGAATTTATAGTCTTATCTTTTATCTTGATTAAAAGTGAGATTTTGAGTAATACCCAAGGAATACATGAGATTTTGCGATTTAAATTTTTTTTTCAAAATGCATTTAATTTTATACTACATTGATTATAGAAATATATTTTTCTTTAGTATAATTAATTTTAATAAATGATATTTTTCATATTAACTGAATTTAGTTTTTAGGCCTAGAAGATAATAAGATGACCCATCATTGTTCGGTGGCTGTGGGCTTTCGGCCCATGTTTCAAAAGCCCAAAACATCATAAAAGGCAATCTAAAACCCTAGCTTCCGGCTGCTTAAGCTTGGCCGTTTGATTTTCTCGTCGTATCTCCGGGGACAGAAGGTGGCAGAGAAGCAGAGGCGTCTTCCTTGGCAAGTTAGGAATAATGGGTCGAATGCACAGTCGTGGGTTGGTTCTCTGATCTGTTTTAGGGTTTATCAAACTTTGTTTCAGTGTTTCTGATTGGAACAGAGTATTTTGATCTCATTGTGGGTTTTGAACATCTGACTTGAAGATTTTAATTTTATCTAAGTCTGTTTGATTTGTGTCTTTTGTCAGTAAGGGTATCTCTGCTTCTGCTCTTCCTTACAAGAGAACACCGCCGAGCTGGTTGAAGATCTCTTCCCAGGATGTGAGACCTTCGAATCCTTTTTCCTTTGGTTCAAATTTTCTACTGTAATTCGCGTACTGACATTTTGGATTCACACATACATTTGCTGGTAATCTTTATAAAATGTTTGATGTTTTGATAGTTGCACGTCATTTTCACGAAAGATTTATCTGTGGCTTCCACTCGTATTAAAAGCTAAATAATTGGATAATTTCAGTCTCTGTTAAGTCACTTTCGTGTGAAGGAATGTAACTTAGGTAAATGAAGCATTCTTTTGTTCCCTCTTATGTGTGAGTGGTTTTATGCACAGATTGGGATCTAATTGCATTTGTCTGTAGCTTTTTATTTTTACTTTGTCTGATATCTTGAGTGTGGATTCCTAGGTTGAAGAAAACATCTGCAAGTTTGCCAAGAAGGGTTTAACGCCATCCCAAATTGGTGTTATTCTTCGTGACTCTCACGGTATTGCCCAGGTGAAGAGTGTGACTGGTAATAAGATCTTGCGTATTCTGAAGGCCCATGGTACGTTTTATCCCTTGTTGATAGTTAAATTACGTAACTCTTGAATTTCTGGAATTTGTCTTTAGACAGTGAATATCATTTTTCTTTCTACTTTTTAGGTCTTGCTCCTGAAATACCGGAGGATCTCTACCACCTCATCAAGAAGGCTGTCTCAATTCGTAAGCATTTGGAGAGGAATAGGAAGGACAAAGACTCCAAGTTTAGGTTAATTTTGGTAGAGAGCAGGATTCATCGCCTAGCTCGTTACTATAAGAAAACAAAGAAGCTTCCTCCTGTATGGAAATAGTAAGTACTGCTACTTTATGTTTTGCAGAATGTCAAGATCTTATTCTAAGTGCTTACTTGATTGATTAATGCATGCGTCATTGCAGAGTTACATAAATGAACTTGTTCTGCTCCATGCATTGTTTGAAGTTTTTTGAAAACATGTTCAACCTCCTTTTTGTGACATTCATTATCTGTCATTGAGCTCCACTTTTGATCCGGATTAAATGACTATACCAAAAGCTTATGTGATTGGAGGGTGATGAACAGTTTTGGCGTCTAAGGCAATATTTTGGTAAATGGAAAATTTGATTTCCCAAGTGGGTAGATACTCACTCATAATTTGTTGGAATAAAAAATAAAATAACGTGTTTAAATATCAGTATATGTGAAAATATTTGAAACTCATGCCTTATTTTGTGAATAAGAGATTATATTTTTCCCTATAACTTAAGAAATAATTGAGGGATTTGTGGTCCTCATGTGACAAATTCAGTGACATGTTTGGGAGCTAGGATGCCAAAAGATGGTAAAGGAATCCATATGAGAAATAAGAAGGTGGGAGGCTGGGAGCTTTTACAACGATATTTTCTGTTCCCCGTGGATGGGAGAACTCTCACTTCAGGAATCCTCAAGATAGGGGAACTTTGAAATATTTTAAGAAAATTAGCAGAAAATCTTTAATGTTTGATCATCTTCCTGCCTCTGCTAATGACTCATGAACAGAGAATATTCCTTTTCAATATTTGCCATCCAGATAAACATAATCTTTAGAGATGGTTTGACAGTGCTTGGCTACAAACAAACATTGTTATTTTGTTTTGTATTCCTGTCTTTCTGTTCCTCAAATAGAGTTGTTAGAGTTCTTACCCATGTCAATGTGTTAAATCGTGTCTCGTTATTTATAAAACAGCATTGCAATCCTAGTCCCCGCTCTCTATCTCTCTGTCTCGATATTTGCTTTAATTTTTTTTCCTTCAAAAGGTACACGTTTGAAAGCAAAGGCTGTTTATTTTGTTGGTATTCTGATTCAGTTCTTTTTTTGTTTTTTTGCAGTGAGTCCACAACTGCCAGCACGCTTGTTGCTTAAATTGAGATGATTGGTGAAAGTATTGGTTACCCTAAATAGTGTTTTCTGCCAGTTTTAATGACAAATTTTGTTTTTGATGCTTGGCATATTTTGCTCCTCAGTGAAACTATTGAGGTTTATGTGATGGAACCTCACTGTTTTTCCTGTTGGTAACTTTTATGGTTGGTTTTGTTTGCTATCTAGCTAGTTAGCTGCATGCATTTTGTATAATTTCTTTATGGTTCTGAGTTTGTTGACTAATTGAGGACCGGGTTAAGAAAAATAGGAAAAATTAAACATTTGGTTTTTAAAATTTGCAACTTGTGCGCTATACTTAACAACAATGTTATTGGTTTTGAATTGATTTGTTGACGTAGTAATCGTTATTTACATGTTTGAAACGCCTATATCAGCAAACAGCGTGAAGAGAATTCAGTCAATTACCACTAGAATAGAGTGAAAAAGCCTCTAAATACACACCTAACAGGTAGCTGTGTTTGCCGGTTGTCGATATTGGTTCTAAGTAATTAAAATAACCTTGATGTCGATGCTTCATTTTTATGCGAGTGGGGAATGTCATTAGAGTTAATGAAGATAGACAGATAGACTTGTGCTTCCCAACTCGAGACACTGGCTTCGGTTATTGCGGAAGTGTAGGGAGTTGGGATCGTGAATGGACTTCAACCGTATTGATCTAAAGGGTCTAGAAATACAGTAGTTTAGGGCTCATTTGGAGTGATGATGGAATTTTTTAACAGCAGTTTTTTAATTATAATTTACAGAATATGAAATAAGCACATAAGAAAAATTTTATTACGGTCTATGTGAACATTTTTATAAACACATAAGCATCTACAGATAAGTACCGATAGGTGGTGGTTATCACTCATTTCACGGCCCAATAGATGAGGCTAGAATCCTCATTCATAAGAACTGGCATGTTTTGCTTAAACGTACATTGAGAGAAAACTTATATTTTACCAAGTGAAACCATATAATATTTGGGTAAAAACTTGGAAAATGACAGATAAAGAAGCTTCAAAATGTGAAATGCTAATTTGGGAAGCTAAGGAAATGTAATTACAGATAGGGAAGTCCTTCTCAAATTGGAATTTTGAAATTCAATGAAATGACAAAAATACCCTTTGTCTTTTTGTTTTTAAAAAAAACCAACCCCTCACCAGTGGCTGGCGACCGGCGACCACCTCCGGCAGCCACTGTTGTCGACTGGCCTCTGGCGGCCACCGACCACCTCTGGCCACCGGCGCCGGCCACCGGTGTGGTGGCTGCCGATGAAGGATTTTTGTGACATTTTTTTTTTTTTGGAATGGGATAATATTGGTTTAAAGTGGCGGGGGTGGGATTTGATCTCACAACCCCTTGGACACTTGGACCAACAAAAAAAAAGATGATCATTGGGCCATTAAAGATTTCTTAACTTTATAATGCAAACAAAAATATAAGTTAACTCTTTTTTACTGTGATTCCAGCCCATAACAACAATTTATCTAAGATGACAAGTCTTAATTGAGAAATAACAAGTCTAAATTTGATATTAACAAAGTAATTTTCCTTATACATAACAAGAAATAGCATATATGTTAATTAAAAATAACCATAATTTATTTGAAAATAACACGTCTTTACTGGAAAATAACAATTTATTCGGTATTTCTTGTTATGTATAAGGAAAAGTTGCCTTGTTAATATCAAGTTTAGACTTGTCATTTTCCAGTAAATACGTATTATTTTCAAATAAATTATGGTCATTTTTAATTAAGTACATGCTATTTCTTGTTATGTATAAGAAAAAATTGCTTTGTTAATATCAAGTTTAGACTTGTCATTTTCCAGTAAAGACGTGTCATTTTTAAATAAATTATGATCATTTTTAATTAATGCACATGCTGCTATTTGTTATGTATAAGGAAAAGTTGTTTTGTTAATATCAAATTTAGACTTGTTATTTCTCAATTAAGACTTGTCATCCTCAAATAAATTGTTGTCACAAGTTGGAGTCACAGTAAAAGAGTTAACTTATATTTTTATTTGCATTATAAAATTAAAAAATCTTTGATGGCCCAATGGCCATCTTCCCTTTTGTTGGTCTAAGTGGCCAAGGGATTGTGGGATCAAATCCCACCTCCGTTTTAAACCAATATTATCCCATTTCAAAAAAAAAAAAATCTTGTCACAAAAATCTTTCACCGGTAGCCACCACACTGGTGGCCGGCATCAATGGCGAGAGGCGGGGCCTGATGAGGGAAGCAAGCTCTAGAACTCGTTTGGTATGCTGGAAATTCTGCAATGAAAAAGTACAATTTTGATTTTTCATAGATAAAGCCCGTTTAGTTGCAACATTTTTTACCTTTGCTCACTGTTTTAAAGAAAAGTTAACACTTCTAATTTAGTTATTTAGTTTTATGATGGAGTATAAATAAAAGAGTAATTTTAAAAAAAACCAAGAAAACACAATATTAAATTTAATTATATATGCATCTATTATATTAACTTTTCCAATCATGCACTAACATATGCCTTTAAAATATTATTGTTAAAACTATAAATTCATACGGCAAAAATAGAACACGTCTATGTGTGACTGAAAATCTTGACATAAAGGGTGTGTTTGGTTGGAGGGGAGGGGAGGGAAAATGAGCCCCTCCCCTCATTTGGTTAAAAATTTTGGAGGGGAGGGGAGTTAAAATGTCTCCTCCCCTCCCCCCATTTTGGTTCCCCTCCAAATTGAGGGTTTTTGAAGGAGAGCCAAAATTTTAGACCATTATGTACTTATGGTTTTTTTAATATTCCACTTCTACCCATAAAATATATTATTATAATATTTATTTTAAATAAAAAATATATACATTATTATAATTAAAAATATATTATAAAAATTATTTAAATAAAAAATTATAATATTATAAAATTAATTGTTTTTTTATAAATATATTATTTATTAAATATATTTTAAAGCTGGAAAAAAAGATAGCTTAAAGAAAATAAAATTTCATTTTTCTTAGAGCATATAAAATTTGTTAATTTGATTATTTTAAATATATTATTATATTAATTAGAATAAAAAATTACTATACCAATTTTTTAATACACATATTAACATGATAAGATTGAATTTTTATTAAATTATATAATTTAAATTAAGATGTAAATTAATTTATATAATATATCAATAAAAAACATAAACTAATATATAAGGGTAAAATGGTAAATTGATTATTACTATCCTTCCCCTCCCCTCCTTGAACCAAACAAGGGATCATTAAATATCTTCCCCTCCCTTCCTTTTTAATCAAACCAAACAAGGTGAGGATGAAACCTCCCTCCCCTCCCCTACCCCTCCCCTCCCTCCCTCCCTCCCTCCCTCAAACCAAAGACAAATAACCTCCCCCCCCAAAACAATGGACATAAAGTTGATGGAAGTATTTTCCATATATAGACAAGAATAGCAAATATCAAATTATGCAGATATCAGTAATATTTAAGGTAAATTTCAAAGAAATAAATGTGTTAAATCTGTTCTTAATTAAAGCAATAGAAAATAGGAAGTAACTCTACAATACCAAGTGATTTTACTTTTATATAGGATATCACTAATAGTTACCAATTAATAAGATTTTATTTTAAAATTCAGAATTCCCTTCTTTTTCAAAATAAACATAAATCATATAATTTGACATCCATTTACATTGGCCTCAATAGTCATCTCAGTGGTCATCCCGACCATCCCTCTTTCTCTTCTTTCTCATTGCCTCACGTCTTTTCTTGCCCTTCAAGAAGACCCCATCCCTCTTTCGATTCGGAGCAGGCCTTATAATCACTCCGGGAGGAATATCTCTGGCTGCAGATATTTTTCAGTCAGTGTTAGGCAAAATTATTATTTCCTCTGGTCCTAATTATAAGACGTATGTAGTTTACAAATGAGACCTTACAATTAGAATTGGAAATAGTGTTATTAACAGAACTAAAATTGTTAAAATAAAACTCACGATTATATAACATGCCACAATCAACGATTCTAACCGCCCAGTCAAAACTAGTCTGTCCAATTTCTCGTAGCGTATCCATGCCTTCCACAAGCTTCCCGAAGACCACATGAGTCCTGCAACAAGTTGCAAATAACAGTATTAGTATATTAGGAAGTTTGACAAATGTAACGTTTGCAGACCGAGCATTTTATATTGGAGGGGGGGGGGGAGAAAAACAAGAGTTAACCATATATATTAACCTGTCAAGGCTTTCATCAGCTCTCAATGTGATCAAAAAGTGAGAACCGGAAGCTTTTAATTCTTTTCTGGGCATAGATAGGAGCCCTTCTTTATCATGTTTCAAGTTGTTTGACTCATCAGCTGAAATAAGTCACAATGTAGAAACTCTTCATCGAAATAAACATTTTGAGAACTTTGAGAAAGTATGAATCTAGGATCTAGCATTCTCACCTGGGAAATGTGGACCATAAATGCTTTCAACATCTTCCCCTGCAGCATGATTAAAAATGTGATGTAGAGGTGTAAGAGTAGACATTACATCCAGGAACAAGTAGAAATGATTAGCAAGTTCGGAAGATTATAGCAAACAAGACATCAGGCCAGATGAAACGTATAGTTGCAGTCAACATTGTAATCATGATTATTCAATGCAGGATTTATATAAAAATAAAACAGTAACTTGGATAAATTGAAGATTTATATCTAGAATGTAGTGACAATTTAAACTGAGGATTTCCAAACAGATACACTATTGAACCACTCATTTAGAAATATATCTTAGGCGACAACATTTTCAGTTGGGAAAAAATGATCAAGTTAAAATCGTCAATTGCTAGTCTTAATTCAATCCTACAGTGTAACAACCCAAATAATTTATAAATAGAGGATACAGAATTTACTTAAAATCAACATATCAATATGTAACATAAAATATATGACATGATGCATCACTCGCAATCAATGAGCATCACAGCCCATTCTTCAAATACCAGCTATGCACAAAAATATGAATCTACTTTCATTTAATAATTAGTAAAGCAATTAGAAAGAGTTAAAAATTGCATTGACAGAAATGGACTAAATGTGAGTAAATGTATTGTATCAAATTACAAGATTTAGAAAGCAGTTAAGTGTGCCATGCAAAAGCCAATGCGTCATTAGAAAACTCACCAGTTTCGTAGCTTATGGCACCTCCCTGCAAAAGGAAAACTAGCAATTAATATAGAGTCTTGATCACAGGTTGCAAAGAAAACTGTTTTGGAAATTAAATAAGATGGACAACTTAGTAAATATACGCTTCAAACCA